TGATTGAACCCGCGCCTCTGCCAAACATAACAATTGCACTATCATTTGAGTTACAAAGAACTCAAGTCTTATTTTGATCACATTTTAATATATATTAAAAGTTTTCTTAAGGAAATAATCCTGCACAGTGAAAGCGTGGTTTGAAATCACGTTTTCTTCAGAAAATAAAATTTAATTATAAGCACTGTAAAAGCGTGGTTTGGAACCATGTTTTCTGTAGAAATTTTTTTTTGCTTAAAAGTGTGCTTTCTAACCACGTTTTTTTTTTAAAAAAATTATATTAAAAACGTGGTTTGTGACCACGCTTTCTTAATTAAAAGCGTGGTTTGTAATAGCGCTTTCACTATTCATCACATTTTCGCCTCCAAACAGTGAAAACGTGATTTGTAATAGCGTTTTAGTCTAGTTTGAGAATTCCGTCCAAACTAGGCCTAATTTGAAAATTAAGATAGTCCCAAATTCTTTGTCGCGCCTACCTTGTATAGATTCCCATCTAGGTATTTAATATGTTTTTTTCCTTTGTGTGTCAGTGCTTAGGGTTGGTTTATTTGGTGATTTTTTTTTTCCTCATCGTCTTTTATGATTTTTTTTTTTAATTTAAAAAAGCTTTAGGCTTCTAAATTTAATTTGAAGAGACGAGCAATAAAATTAAAATTTTCAAAAAAATCCATAAAAAATAAAAATAAGGCAAAAATAGTGAACTTTTTTGGCTTTTCAATTTTGTTTTTTTAGAATTTTTCAAAAAAAAAAAAAACTTTTTAGATTCGTCTACACAAGATGGATTGGAAAAGTAAAAATTGACATAATTTTAAAAAAATGTCACTCAAGACTACAGCATTCGAAAAAATATGTGACTTTCTTTGGTGTTCCCAAACACCCATAGCGCAGGGCAAGTTTGATTGGGAATATTGGAGTATAGGATTGAAATTCTCAATTCGTGAGACTCATGGTTGTTTTTGGAAATTAATTATTTTAGTTAATTTTTTAACTTTTTATGAAAAGACATGCAAAAAACTAGAGACAAGAGTTAACTTTTTCGAAGTGATTTTTTGGCTATTTTAGCTGGTTTCCAAACTTGCCCCCATATCCCATTAATTGGTTGTAATTTTTGTTATCCTGATTAGATTTTAATGCACATTTTATCTAACAAAATTTATAGATCTTTTAAAATTTTGATTGGGTGTATTGTAGTATAGGGTTGAATTTTTTGAAAAATTTGGTCAAAATCCTCTCATAATAAAATTTTAATGCATTAAGGACAAGTACAAAAAGCTTTGCTTGAAAAATCTAGCACATACTACTATTTTCAAAATATCCATAGTGAGTAATTTAATATTTTAAATTTTAAAATGATATAACTTGTGATCTAAATGTTGGTTTTTAATAAAATTAGTATTTTTAGAATTCTCTCGTTAAAATCTATCAAACTAGATTTAGGTTGACTATGAAATTCTTTAAATAAAAAAAAAATACCTTCAAGTAAACAGTAACATAACTCTATTTAACAGTAACATTTTACTTTGATTAATAATAACATTTTACTTTAATTTATAGTAACATGTTATTGACTACTAGAGTAAAACCTTACTGTCTTTGTAAACATGGTATCAGTAATAAGAAAAACAGAATATGAACCGAAAGAAGTTCTACAAGTTCCTTCACTACAAGTTCACAAATAAATCAACAACAATTCAATAATAAATTAACAACAATTCATTATACCTGAAGGAAGCTCTATAATCAACAATCAACAAACTCAACAAATTCCGTCTAATCCCACAAAATTTTCAATCAATAGGCCTAATCATTCAACCAAACTTTCCTTAATCACACTAGGTTTCTACACCCAACACTAATTTCATCAAAACCCAACAAGACCCAAATCCAAACCCACTTTCACTGCAACGATTGGTATGAAAGCTTCTTCATCTCAGAACCCGTCTTCTTCTTCGTTTTAGTATATAAATTTTTGGAATTGAATTCTGATTTCTTAGGGTCTTCATTTTAGTGAGACGAATAATGTCGGGGATTGACTTGTTTCTACTCTCTCACTAATTAGCTTTTAGAAAAATTGAGTTCTTCAGCGCATTTAATTTGTATTTTGCATTACCACCTTGTTTACTTCTTGAGTGTGTTGTATATGTTATGACCCAACCCCAATACCCAGGGGTTGGATGTCGCAACTAGTCAATTTCTAAAGTTACTAAGGATTAATTCTGAATTAAAATGAATTAATAACGCTGCGGAGTAAAATAAAAGGTGTACATATAAATATTTATTGTACTTAAAACGTACATCGAAGCTTTTATTTAATTAAAAAGAGTTAGGCAATAATTACAAATAAATAAAAACGAAACACTGTGCTTATTCCAAGCTCTAGTTCTGCTTTATGAGGTAAAAAAAACTCCTCCCTAAGTTTCATTACCTGAATGGGTTTAACAGCTATAAGTACATGGTAGAGTGAAAAATATTATACTGAGAATATAAGTTATAAAAGTCACCATGGATAATTATTTAGGCTAAATAGTAAATAGTTTGGTTCGAATAAATAAATCATTTTAAATAGCAAAAATATCATGCAGAAATCATATAAGTAAAATAATCATGACCATGGTACAAAACATAACAGAGGGTCAATGGATTCATGACAAACAGAGGATTACTAAAATGACTAATCAGATGGCCAATGTTATTTGAGTTCCCAAAAGCATGTGACCTCCGTGATAGTACTTATAAAGCACATCAGTAAATATGAAATCCCCAAAATTATAAACATTTTATATCCATGGATTTCCCTTGTAAACCAATAGGGTTCATAAAATAAATAACATAATTGAAATGTTAATATAATTTATAAAGCATGATTTACATAAAAAAATTTTTACATAAAATAATTCATTGTTATTCAAGGTATAATACAACTCACCTAAATAACGACTCTTATTTTATTTTTATTTTTTTTTGTTACAGGAAAATTCTCCTCATCTCCCGCAGGTCCAAGGCAGCGCCCCTTACAGAGGTCACTAAGGTGTCCTGCTTTCTGTTCTGAGTCAGAGACTATAACCTGAAAACTTATCTTGACCTCTCAAGACAAGTTCTACTTAAGTTAGAACTCGTGCAACGAGAGAACTTTGAACCCACACCAAATACCGTAATAACAACAATTTAAAACTAATCTCCTAACCAACGGAGCACTTTCACTATGCTGATTCCTTTCTCCCTTGGTCACTTCAACCTCCAGGAATTCACCTATTTATATAGGTGATTCACTTAACAAGACTTGGGTCAAGTCTCTGAGCACCACTTATTTGCCACCCCTTATTGTTTTCATCTTACCACAATTCAAAGTTTATCCAAACAAATAGCTAATTATCCTATAATCCAAATATTAAACTAATTGTATTACCATCCTTCTCTCTCTTTTTCTTTCTTTCTTTTTTTTTAAAAAAAAAAAAATCATAATGACCCCTAACTTAAATTAAATTATATTTTAAGTATATCCAATATATATATTTTCTTTAATCATAATTAGTTGATATTAATGCAGAGTTAAAATTAATTAAATATTTGGAGTGTCACAGTATATATTGTTGCGTTCTCTCACACTCTGTGGGATATATACATAGGTGCAAGGTTGTTTAGAAGATAGAGAAAAAATAGTAGTTTGTCCTTCATGGTGGAAACACTTGTTGCTCAAGGGGTTTAGGAAGTAAAATTTTTGGACTGTCCCTTACACATTAACATGTTGGGCCTAGGGGGTTTTGGCCAAATTTCTCAATTATTAATTCACGGGACTCATATTCTATTATTTGGTTGTAATTTTTGTTATTTCGATTAGATTTCGATTGATATTCTATTCAACAAAATTTACAAATTTTTTAATCTTACAACTAATATATATATATATATATATATAAAGTCCAATTAGTACATATTAATGTGTGTTTGAGAGAAAAAATATTAAGTACACACCTAACATTTGGTATGGTGCACAAAACAGTTGTCCCATGACTTAAACCTATAATTTCAAGGTTATTAAATCAAGATTTCACCATTAAATCAATGATCACCAATAATCCTATAACTAATATACGAAACAATTATATAATTGTAATTATATATTTTCATATCTACTGCAAAATAAAATAGACAAAAAATAATTATTTATCTCACTAATCTAATGGAATAACTAATGTTACACTGATAACATGAATGATTAATCTCTTCACTATTAATTATGCTAATCAAATAGGACCTTATTGAATTGTTGCAACCAATTTCCACTACCTCAACCAAGTTATTGATCGTTGAAATTTTCTTTATTTTTTTATTTATTTTTTCCACTTTGATCTCTGGCAAAATTGGGGAGAGGGGCACCAATGGAAGTGAGATGAGATGAGCGGAAGAGTAATGGTAGTTCGGAAGGTGGTGGTGCATAAAGATAGGGAAATGAAGTGTGGAAGCGTGATGGGAGTAAAAATAATTTTGTTATTTCATAACTCTCGTAAACGGAGTTAACTTTTGAGGACATCGGTGGAAGCCGGTGTTATATTTTGTCAAACTAATAGGCCAGCTGCAATTTAAGCAAATGCTTAGGGAAGGTAAATGTAATTTGCTTAAATTTTAGCCGGAGTCAACATTATACAGACTTTTTATTTTTATTTTTATTTTTATTATTTACCCTCGCAACCCCCACCTTCTACAAATACATATCAGAGCAACGATCCTCTAGAGTGATTTTTCTCTAAAGTTTCCTAGAGTGTTACATTGTATGGTTGAGATTTACTGTCAAGTCACATCAATTTTTCTGATGTGACTTGCCAATAAATCTCAACCACACAATATAGTACTCTAGAAAACTTTAAAAAAATTTCACTCAAGAGGATCCTTGGTGTACATATCAGCCAGTGATAGAAATAAATAAATAAATAAATAAAAAATTAACCAATCACAATTCATTCAAAAAAGGGGTCCAACCGTTTTCCTTTTGGATGCCACAAAGTCTTTTCTGATTGAACTCCGTCTTCAGAACACAAACTTGAGAGAGATAGCAGAGCACCGAAATGGGGCTATGGAAGCAGTAAACAATTGACTGTTTGCTGATCAAAAAAATGTTTGAGTATGCGAGAGAAGAAAGAGAAAGAGAAAGAGAAAGAGAAAGAGAAAGAAAGATAGAGAGATGGAAACAGCGAGAAGGATTCGGGAGGGACATGGGTGAAAATTATCGTGTCTTGGAGAAACTGAATAATCTAATGATCAGTAAGGCGTGCAATTTGACCGCAGATCAGATAGATCATATCGACTCCTTTTTCAATCGGCTAAGATTCCTAGCAATCATTCTCAAGGATTTGGAAGAGAAGCTGCAGCTGCAGCTGCAGCTGCAGCACCTGCACCTGCTGCCGCACCTGCAGCTGTACTGTGAAGCTGAAAACCTGCCGATGCAAATTTATGATGTGATCTGCAAGACAAGACAACTCATCCATTTTTTTGATGTTCAATTGGCACAAATATCATGGAAGAGATTAAGACGATTGGTGAAAAACTGGTGCAATTTTTTTGATATTTTAATTGGCACAAATATCATGGAAGAGATTAAGACGATCGAGGAGAAAGTGGTGCAGTTTTATGACCAGATAAATCAGATCCAACTCCTACAAGATCATAAAGATTTCAATGATGGAGTCCATTCGTCAATGTCAATGGAGAACAGAACCATGCTAGATGAAGAAATTACAGTGGGCTTTGATGATGAGGCGTTGACTATAAAAGAGCTACTTGCTGGAGGGAAGAAGCAGCTACAACTTATATCAATTGTTGGGATGCCTGGACTCGGTAAGACTACTTTAGCCACAAAACTGTACAATGATCCTTACATCACACACTACTTTCATATTCGTGCATGGACCTATGCTTCTCAATTACCCAGAAAAACAGTTATGTTGTTGGACATTTTAAGTTCTGTTAATGTCGTCTTTACCGATGAATTTAAAAACATGACCAATGAGAAGCTAGGCGAAAAGTTGTACAAGCAATTAAAAGGCAAGACATATCTCATTGTCATTGATGATTTATGGGATATTGGTGCCTGGGTCGATCTTAAAATGTATTTCCCCAATGACAACAATGGAAGTAGAGTAATGTTCACTAGTCGGCTCAAAGAGTTGTCTATGCATGCCTCACCTGATTGCCATCCTCATTGTCTGCGTTTTCTCACTGAAGAAGAGAGTTGGGAGTTATTACAACGGAAGGTGTTTCAAAATGAATGTTGCCCTCCAGAACTGATTGGAATTGGGAAGCAAATAATGAAAAAATGTGAAGGGCTTCCACTTGCAATTGTTATAATAGCAGGACTTCTTGCAAAGAACATCAAGACACCATAGTCGTGGAAACAAGTTGCCCAAAGTGTAAGCTCATACATTGTTAGTGATCCAAACCAGTACTTGGACATGCTAGCACTAAGTTACAATCACTTGCCTCACCACTTGAAACCATGCTTTCTCTGTTTAGGAGCATTTCCAGAAGACGAAAAAATCCCGGTGCAGAAGTTAATTTGTTTGTGGGTAGCTGAGGGGTTTATACAAAAAATTGGGCAGAGAAGCTTGGAGGAAGTAGCAGAGGATTACTTAATGGATCTAATTCAGAGAAGTCTGGTAATTGTTGCTCAAAAAAGGTTTGATGGTCGTATTAAAGCATGTCGTATGCATGATTTGTTGCGTGATTTATGCTTGAAGAAAGCCAGCGAAATTAATTTCCTACGGTGGACTCACAAATATAAAGACGCTTCTCCTTCTTCTTCAAGTAATTATGAAACAAATAACCAGCGCCGCCTGTGCATCCTTCCTTACTTCGAACTAAGATTTGATCATATTCTCTTTCAGTCTTATTCCCCAACAGTTGGTCATTTATTATCATTGTGCGACAGAAAAGAGTTTGGGAACAAAATTAGTCACGACGACGATCTGTTTGGTGATATGTGCTCGTTTATTTGTCGGACCTTCAAACTTCTTAGAGTGTTGGAAATATGCTATTATAATGCCATCTTTCCAAGAGAATTAACACAACTTGTTCATTTGAGGTATTTGGCAATTAATTTGAAATATTCCTGTGAATTACCACCATCAATATCCAATCTCTCAAACCTAGAAACACTTATTATTATTTCTACAAAAATGGAGTGAGGTTATTCTGCCATGCAATGTTTGGAATATTACAAAATTGAGGCATCTTTATGCTAAAGGAGGAGCAAAATATGATGGGTCTTTTTGTTCTGAAGAAGCAGTAACAAATCACAACCATCCCTCTATATTAGAAAACCTACGAACCATCGCAAACGTAAACCCCTGTGGACATGTTCAGGATTTATTGGCAAGAACTCCTTTTCTTACAAAGCTGGGACTTTGTGGACATCTGTTGTCAGATTCAGGGAATTTGATGTTTCTTAATCTAGAATTTTTAAGACACCTTGAGACTTTGAAGCTACTGAATGAGTTCTCATACCCAACCAATTTCCGAGAGGTCAAGTTTCCTACAAATGTTAAAAGGCTAACCTTGAAATGTACAAAGATAAAGTGGGAGGATATATCAATCCTTGGGATGTTGTTACCCAACCTTGAGCTTCTCAAATTAGAAAATAGTGCTGGTTGGGGATGGCAATGGGCAACAACTGATGTTGGGTTTCCTCGACTCAAATTCTTGAAACTGAAGGACTACAATGTTAAGCAATGGATCACCTGCTCTAGTCACTTTCCAAGCCTTCAACACTTGTTGTTGGACGGGTGTATATCTCTTGAGGAAATACCATCTAGTTTGGGGGATATACTCACTCTGCAGATGATTGAGGTAAACTATTGTCGCTTCACTGTTGTGGAATCTGTCAGGAAAATTAAGGAAGAGCACGAGAGCAACGGAAATTGTTGGCCCAAAGTGCTGATTAGGAAATCTGCGTTGGACCTTCAAGTCAAAGTGTAAAGATACAACTTGTAAAGGTGTGTTCTTTTTATATTTATGTTTAATCTTTTCTTTTCTCTGTCATATTTCTTATTTTGGATTTTACCCTACATCAAATAAAAGAAATCTATCTTGTGTATATATAAACTAGCATAAAACTGTACCGCCTTAAATAAATAGTTAAAATTTTATCTTAAAAATTAGAGTAATAATTGTAAAATTTTAAAAGAAAAAAATAGTTGAAATTATGTGAATGAGTTGTTTTCATTTAAATTGTACTAAAGTTGTGTTTTAATTGTGTTATTATTAATATTTTATTGTAAGTAGTAACTAATAGATATGTATGTCATTACTTTGAGATCAAAAAAATTGAATGAATTATAAAAATTCCAGTTATTACACAAGATAAATATATATACTTTTATATTAGATTTTCTCGAACGACATAACGACTAAAATTTTAATTTACAATTACATAAAAATAGTTTCTTTCACTTCTTTTTCATTTTTTATTTTTTAATTTAATTGAGCATATAGCATTTTACGTATTTTCATATTTCCTTTTTATTTTTATTTAATTTTTTTAAATTTTTGTAAACATTTTTGGTATATGAGATATGTAAGTATTAGATAACAATATCCATGTGGTCAAGTATGGAAAAAAAATTAAGGATCTTGAAAAAGTAAATAAAAAAATTATCAAAAAATAAAGTGTATGGAGTATGTGTGCTAAAATTTAACCACACAACCTATAGTCTGATATTTCTCCTGGAATTCTGGAAGCATAGCCATAGAACACACTGCCTAGATCCATGTCTGCACAATTAGAAGAATAAACCGGGAGGGCACTTCGATGATAAAGTCAACAAACTAATATCTCAAGATATTTTGACAAAGTAACGATAACTCAAATTAACACATAAATTCACGTTCCTCTCACACGTGGGTGTGCCTGCTTTTATATAGAGGTGCCCTCCTCCTCCTAGACTAGGAAGCATGGATACGGATACAAGATATGAATATGATATGATATAGATACGGCAATACAACAAAACCTAGAAAAATATAATACTGGTATGATTAGGATATGTTTGTGAAAAATATATTTTTTAAAATTATTAGTAGTGAGTTACACAAAAGCTAAAGAATGTTGAGAAACCCCAATGTAATTTTATAATGCAAAATACTAACCTTTAAAAATTAGCTATTAATTTAAGCTAGTAGGTTGTTTACCTTTGACTGAAAATGTAAAACTAGTTTGATAATATGTTTCAGGATGAAGATTGTCTTGCTATGGCTTCCCTTCCTTGCTCTAAATCAAACAGAAATGGTGTTTTCAAAGGTGCTGTCAGAGAAAATATACCAATTAGAGATCGAGTGTTTGATTGTACCAAAAATTGTTAGTTAATGTGCTTGTATGTAATATAACTGTTTGTGAGTGCTTATCTGTAATATATAACTTCTGTTTGTGAGGAAATTGTTGGAGTATTATTTCATAGCTTGTTTACTATCAAAATATAAAATAGGAGTAGAGTTTGGGACTCCAAATTTACATGGTTTAAGCAGATTTAGGTGTTTGGTATGGCCAGCCACTTCAACTGGGAGGGACAGGGCATTTGAGTTGACAATATGTCCTTCATTTTTTATACACTTCGCATACATGATGCATCACTTGTTCACCATGCATTAATAGTTTGAGTAGTGATAAATTTTTTGTATAGAATGATGTGGCATAGTGTTGTCCCTTCATTTGAAAACGGAATTTTCATCATCATGATCATGATTCACAAATAGTAATGATATACAAATAGAAAAATGAGAGGTATGGTTGAAATTGTTCTATTATCCCAAGAGATCATGCACTATCTGAAAAATCAGAGGTATGGTAAAAATTGATCTATGGTTGTTAAGCTTGACATGAGCCAGGCCTATGATAGAGTTGAATGGCCATCTGGTGGCGATTACGAGCAAGTCGGGATTTGCAATGCAGTGGATCCGGTTGATTATGTAATTTGTCTCTATTGTATTTCATTCCTTCCTGATTAACGGGCACAAACTTGGGTTCATTATTCCATCTAGGGGGTTGAGACGAGTGAATTTGTTATTGCCGTTTCTCCTTGTGATTTGTATTGAAGGTTTGTCACCTATGTTCAAAGATACTTGGGGTTGTCTTCGCATATGGGTAGGTCCAAGATGGAGCTCTTTAAATTTGTAGTGGATGGGGTTAAACAGAGGCATGCGGGATAGAAAGAGAAATGTTTATCTTTGGCAAGGATGGTGTTACTTGAGTCAGTTGTGTACACTTTTTACCCACACTTTGGAATGTCGTGTTATAAACTACCTGATATCATTGTGGGCTTACCTCTCTCAATTACAAAAATGTTGTGTAATATACTACCTGATATCATTGTGAGCATATCTAGCTCAATTACGACGAATGCAACGTCGTGCTATAAACTACCTGATATCATTGTGGGCTTACCTATCTCAATTACTACCTGATATCATTGTGGGCTTACCTATCTCAATTACGAAAATGTTGTGTAATATACTACCTGATATCATTGTGAGCATATCTAGCTCAATTACAACGAATGCAACGGGCGATTGGACGTCGGACTTGACAGTTCTCAGCGAAAAGTGAGTATAATGTTGGTTGAGAATGAGGTTATGGTTGCAGCTATGAAGGAAAACAGTTTGTTGAGGCTATGGAAAGAGATTCCAGCAATCAAAGTTCCTGCAAAAATTCTGATATTTATGTGGATATGTTGTGTTTGATATCCTACCAGTTTAGACAGATTTTGCAGATTCTGTATGGAACAATGAATTCAAGGTGAACGTTTCATTTTTGGTTGTTATTTAGATGGCAAACATTATTTAGTTTTAAAACATGAAAAATATTTTCCATTGAGCTTATTTAAGCTGAAAACACTTTCTACTTGAGAAATAAAAAAACAAAAGCTTTGTTGAGAAAATCTTACCAATGCTTCCACAGTACTACCATCTCACCACCACCACCACCACCACCACCAATACAACTACTAGCACATTAGTTTCAAAGTCACAATCAAACATAAGAAAACCTAAAAAGACATTTTGACTGAAACCATAGAGGCATAAAACTATATTCTGTACCCATCCTTTGTCAAAAACAGATGTGTGGCTAACAGTACACTGTTTATATGGGCCCAAGTTTACTCCAAAGTTAGGCCCATGGCATAGGTTGGTGCCATGAGCAAATAAATATTTTAATTTCTATATTTCTATTACTAAAAGTACACGACACAGTACAAAATTTAGAAAAATAACAAAAATTGATACCGATCCTGATAATAGTCGATTGACAACTTAAATTACATTGATCTTTGAAACTACAAATTTAAACACAGATTTGAAGCTGTTTTAAATTCATTCAACAAGGGATATACAAAGGGCAACTGCCATTCCAGATATCAGTGAGGTTAACTGGAATGCTATACTTTTTATCGCTGAGCTGCTGCCGTTGTTCATTTCTGCCAGCACTCCGGCAACTGCAATGCACACAAACCCGCCTGCCGTGAATCCCTGAAAACAAAAACAACGAAGACATGTTTGGATTACTACGAATGCATATGATACCCTCAGTGCCAAAACGAACGAACTCAGATCATTTCTTGAAGATTCTTTAGCTCAATCAAAGATGATTGTCCTGGATCTTGGCCCATGACCAACGCCTGTGTGGCAATAACCATAAAACGCGTTTATTAATTCTTCAATTTTTTTGGGACTACTAAAAAAAGGGAGGGAGGATTCAACTTGCCATACTGAGACAATACTAACCAATGCTGTTCCTACTAGTGCCACCAGTGCTGAGAGGAAATTGAAAAAAAGAGCTTTTGAGACACTGAAACCGGATCTTACCAAGATTCCAAAATCACCTATCTGCACAAGAGGGTTTAATAAAAGATATAGCTCCGAAAGAAATTATATTTTTGATTAAAAAAATGAAAAAATTTAAGGATGAAATACAATATAAGATTTAGTGTTTCCCAAAATATGATTAAATTCTAATGTGGCATTGATAAGGACAAAACATAACTACAACATGGCAAATCTTTAATGACGCACAACAAAAATATGTCAACAAAATTTTAGATCAAATATTTGCTATTTAGATAAATTATGTTAACATGTTGACGAATATGAGGTCTCTAATATCATGCTAATCACACTATGAATACTCCACACAAAATGTACCAAGTCCAGTTCATTTTGCACTTGTCATGTACGCATAACAAGAAGAAAAAATTACATCAATAGTATATATACTTTACCCCTTGTGTCATTTTGGTCCTGTAATTTCAATTCACTCGATCTTTCCCCTTTCTTTCAAGTTTTGTGTCACACGTGAATGGCACACATCATGTTTCAAGGGTAAAATAGTCTATTCTCCCATTAGCGAATTACACTTGGGTGGGAGCCTCTATTTACACACCATAATTTATCTCAAAGCAAACCACTTCTAAGAGCACACCTTTAATAATTTGGTAAATATATATTTAGCTCATCACACACCACAAATTTACATATTTATCCTTACTCATACACCCATCTACAACAATATACACACGAACTCCCATATTTGCCCTCACTCACTCACACCCCCACACACCCACCTTCTTCCATCTCCCCCCTCTATTCTCAGTTTCAATCGGTGAACACTGTGTTGGTGCTCAACACAGAGTTAAGCAGTGGTGAAGACGTCGTTGGTGCTCAAGTAAAGCAGTAAGTAGGTGAGTTCTCATTCCACGGATGCACAGTTCTGAAAAAGGGGAAAAAAAAATTATAATTGTTCAGCAGTACAGAGTCGAACAAATGTAAGTTGTTCGATTGTAGTTTGTTGAACAAATGTAAGTTATTCGATTATAGTTTGTTGAACAGATGTAAGTTGTTCGATTGTAGTTTGTCAAACAATGACATTTTTCACCTCTGGTTAACCGAACAACGATTTATCACTCATAAACGAAAACGAAGACAAAAACAACAAAAAATAACCTTTTCATTGCTCCATTGTTCCGAATGAGAATTGTTAGATGCATCCTTCATTGAATCCAATCAAAATCTTCAATAATACTATATTTTTTATTATTTGTTGAAGGGTTTTTTATTTTGGTTTTAGGGTTTTTGGATTCTTAACAGAGAAGATACGTAAGGAAGAAGTTTGAAATTGATGATTCATATTAGGGTGTCTCTAAATGCACCCCAAATTTGTTGTTGGCCATCCCATTTCTTTAAGCACCCTGATCTCTGAATTCAATTTTGTTCTTTTTCTTTGAGCACCCCAATTAACACCAACTTTATCCCCATCCATTCCAACCCCTCCACCTCTGGCGCCGCCACCACCACCGCCGCCCCATCTATTCTGACAGCACCCTTCCAGCAGCATGCAGCTGCCTCCCCTTCCCTCCTTGCAGCCCGAAGCTACCTCCCCTTCCTTTCCTGTCAAACTGCAACCCTAAACCCCACCTCCCCAATCGTGATCTCCCTTTCTCCCAACTCCCCACTCACGATCTCCTCCTTCTCCCTCCTCCTAGATCCAACGATTTATCCCTTCCCTACCTCCCCTCTCGATTTCCCTCCCCACCACCCGTCATAACCACTACGGCCCCTTGTGATCTCCCCAGATCATTGAACCAGGATCTGCATCTTAACCACCACCAATTATTCGATGGTATACATCCCAACCATCGCAATTTGCTCGACATTAGTTGTATGAATCATGAGCTACGGTTTCAAATGAGGGGGAAGAGAGCAAGGTCGAGGGAGGGTTCTAGGGTGAGTGTGGCTGGCAAAACACAACTTCACAAATTTCCTGAGTGAAATAGGTTGAAAACAACTTTGGGTCTGGGAATTCATTTCCAAATCACTTGGGTTTGGTGAAAAACTCAACATTTATATATGATGATTAAGTGGACTGGTTTGATTGTGAAACCTTCGTTAGCACCCTTTTTAAGCTGTTTATAGTTGGCGGCTTGTTGAACGAGGTCGAGAATGGTGATGGTGAGCTGGGAATCGGCCAATGGGTATGCTTTTGGGTTCACAGCTTCCGCAGTCTGCATTGAAATTTGAATGTGTCAACATAGAAAACACAAAATGAACATACTAAACCCTAACCAAATACACACACACACACACACATATTATATTTATATATATATATATAGAGAGAGAGAGAGACAAAGGAGGAAGATGGTGGAGTTAGGGAAGAAGGGCTTCAAGCAATGGAGAACAGGGGATTGAGGATGGACTCAACAAAGGAGAAGCACGCCACGACGAAGAGGCGGCAATCTCTCCTTCTGGCAGAGGGGAAGATCTTCAATGACAATATCAAAGGCAATCTCAATCGATCTCCTTCCTCTCATTCCTCTCTTCTCTTCCGCCTCCATCCTATCTATCTTCCCTCTTTTCTTTTTTGTTGATTTATGGTGGAGGGTAAAATTAATTTGACAAAACGGGGTGTTTTGCAAAAAGGAGGCCTTGCTGGTGGTTGAGAGCGGGTGATTTGGCAGATGAGGTGTTTCACAGCAAGGGGGTAGTGGACGGGGGATTTGCTGGTGGTTGGGAGGGTTGTTGATGGCTAATGGAGATG